GTAGAAGGCGATTGGGATAGATATTTACCCAAAGTTGAGAAAAAACACCTAAAAATGAAGGTTAAGCCACGAAAAACAGGTAATATGCCTATGGATATTCAAGAAAGGATGGACGATAAGATGATGGAAACCGGAGAATACTTTACAAGTGAAAAGTTTTTAAAGAAGAAGTCTTCAAGAGACGAAAGAAATGCCAAGAGAGAAAAAGTTAGGCCGAAGATTCTCGAAGAGAACTAATCTCATGAAAACATAAGGATTTTTGTTTCGTATTCTGGCTATATTTTGATCGACTAAATAAAATTCAGAATTATTTCGGCATTTTTATGCATTTTAACATTTCAAAGGTTAATATTTCTAGATTCTTTTATTTTGATCTTATGAAATTCTAAATTTCATCTTTAAATGAAGTTATTGAGTTTTCTCCAAATAAAAGCTCTGGTTAAATGAATTTAAAAATAATAATATTTTCTACCCATTTGATGAATATAAAAATTACTGGCTTAAAGCTATCAAATTCAATTTTATACAATACAGTGGATAGTACCGATAATTGGGAGGAAACTACTACCGATAGAATAGCAGAACTAGAAGAATTAGCACGTAGGCTCGATAAATTTACATATCCACTTAAAACAACAAAAGAAGATATACTTTTTGAGAGTGAGTATGATCTTGGAACAGGATCAATCAAAAGCTTTAAGGATAAAGATGGGGATTTAATATATACATATCATAGAGAGGCTGAAAAAGAATTAGAACTTGACGAGGAAGATGCCTTTGGCCTTGATTATATATTCTCACCTATTTCTCCAGCAACCTCTGCTATGAATCACAATCATTGGATCAAAAATCAGAATATTGATGCTAAAAATATTATACCATCAAATATAAAAAGTAAATTTGGAGATTCGTTAAACAATGTCATTGATGAGCAAGTTAAGAAGAGGAAGAGATCTGTTGAAGATGTCTCTGCTGGCAGATTATCTGATTTGGAAATTCCATGCATTCTAACTACTGACTCAAAGGTTGGTATTCCCATTCTTGTGGAAAACACGCCTGGTCAAATTGGTAGATATGTATTCAGAAAACGCCATGGAGCAGCAAGTAAAATGGATCAAATATCTATTCAAAGGGAGAGATTAAAAAAGTTATTTTTGAAAAGAGATATATTGAAGCCCCAAGAACTTATAACATTAGATAAAATTGTAGAAGAAAGTGTACCATTTGAAATCAGTTATAAGTCTCCTAAGAAACAAATTAAAGAATGGGGAATGAATGGTAGCATGTTAATATCAACTTTAAAGTATAACAGAAAAAAAGATATTGAAAATACTATTGAAAGTAAATTTTATCTTGAGACTGTTGCAATTAATCACATAAAAGAGAATAATCTAAAAAATCTACAAGGATGAAAGCAAACTAAAGTGTTCTTTTATGATGCTAATCTCAATATTTTCTTCGATTATATTTAGATTATGGGTATTTCAAGACCTTTGTAAGTAATGAGGGAAATGCTTTAGGTTTTTGGATTTTTAGAACATATTTCATTGAATGTTTTCTTAATAAACCCATAAATAGCTATTTACAGATGATTTCGCGATTTAATGTTTCAGATCAAGAAGGATATTCTGGTATTAGGAGCACAATACCAATTCTTAAGCATAATCATGCCTCAATTGATAGAATTTTATAATCTTTAATAACTAAATAATCCAAAAATAAAATATTCATAATAAACAAAGCTTTAGGGATATTAGAAATACGATATGCTTGTTTTAATTTTATTCACATATATTATTTTTTGTGCCTTTATGCTTTTTAAAGTGGTTATTTTACATTAGATAAAATCCTGCAGTCATTTCAATAGCGATAGATAACTTGTTTTGAAGTTTTTGATAAGTAACATATTCAGGGAGCAATAGGGTGTTAAAGCATGTTTGTGAGCTTGGAAGTCGTTCTGTATCACAACCATTCTTCATAATTGTCAATTTTAATGTTTCAGGCCCTCCAATTGGAATACGATCATTCCCTGTAACAAATCTTAAAAATTTCTTCTTGTTCTCCTCACTATAATTCTCAACAATTCTCCAAAAATCTTTGATAACTTTAGCATCTATCGTATATCCTTGGTATTGAGTGGTCTCTCTGATCGCATCAAAATTGAAGTCGTCAATTCCCATGATAATCTTTTCCAATTCCTTTGGCTGAAAGGACTGGATAGAACTAGAATCTATAACAGAATAAAATCCATCTAACAATTCTGTAAATTCATTTACAATCAATTTGGACATATGGAATTGAGAAAACATTTTTTTAAAACATGAATAATTTGTTTTATCTACCTTGGTTTGTTCTCCATTGAGAACAAGAGATACACTTCTCATTTTCCCATCTAACTCGTAGGATGCAACAAAATACATGTCTAAACAATCAAAGACATCTGAGCCAACACCTTCCAAATTTTTCAAGGAAGTGTAATACTCGGGTTCAATTTCTACCAAATCATCGAATGTTAATTTGCAACTGAGTATTTTCTTGAAAAATAAAGATGCAAAGGGTATATTTAAGACTACATCATTATATAAAGCTATACCGATAATTTTCCCAATGATTTTGAGTTTTACCAAATCAACACCAGACTTAAGCCAGACTCTTTCATTTTTGATTGTAAAAATAGATTCATCATGCGTAATCTCATGACTTAAAAGCTGAAAATATTCCTTTCTAATTCCACCAGAGTCAATTCCATCTTCATTTACAAAATTAATTTTCAATTGTTTTTTTAAATCACTCTCTGGAATTTGTCCAAGGATTTTAAGGGTATCCGAATAAATATAGTCTCTACGTATGGTGATAAATAGATATGGCTCAGTTAACCCTTCAAAAAGAGCCCTGAAAAAAGAGTCCTGTAGAGTAGTTTTTTGGATGTCTGTATTTGCTACCTTGAGAAATTCAGCTTTGACTGTTACTGGCAGAATATGCTTGTATTGTAGAATGGTATTAGTTTTTAACTTTAAATATCTAAGTTCTTCCTTTAAATTAATTAAACTGGAAAGCTTTTCGCAATAAAATTTTTCGTAGTCAGTAAGTTTGTAGAAACTGTTAATACGGTAAAGAATATGATGGATATCACACAGAACTTTGTTTGTCTTATCTTCTCTAAAATCTGCAGTGGTTGCAGAATTCAACAGATTCGTTACAGATTCAAGGCTCTTTGTAAAATCCATTTTGGTGAATGTAGATTGGAACAAGCATCTGCAGGGTCCACATCTATAAATTTCATTTATGTTCAGCTTAATCATAGAATTAGCAATGGAAAGATACACGAAGTTGAATACACTGAAGAGCTGAGGGTAGTAGCAATCCTCTACACACGAATGTGGAGATACTATACAAAATAACCTAATAATTACCAGAGCAACAGTTAAATCTTGGGTGATCTGGAACTTACACAAAATTAAATGTAATACACCTATTAGAAGATACGAGTCAACATGAGAAAGCTTAGTATGGCCAATCTGACAATAAGAATGTTCTAAGTCGCGGCATGGACTAATTCTGGTGTCTACTACTTTATTTCGTTTCTTTGCAAGACTATTTTTTTGCTTCAGCATTTTGGTCTTCTGAAATGTAAATGCTTTTTGATTACAAAACTGAGAAGTGCAATAGTCCTTTTTATAAACCAAATCGATCAGGTAAAAGTACAAATTGATAATATCATTTTCATATATTGTGACCGATGGATTTGATATCAATTTTTCCACATTTTCGCATGAAAACAGATCACCATATTTTTCTAAAATTTCTTCGACACGACTCTCTGTCTCTGGACAACTGTGTCTCCTACAGAATATCTTTAGACATCCTGGATTCTTACACTGAAGATGTGAAAAGGTAGAACTCATATTTCTGGGGGTATCTAAACTAATTTTTATATTTAAAAAAGGATCAAATTAAAAAGTTGATTTATCCCTTTGTTCGAAAATGATAAGTGCCCTGTGGGTGTCTATATCCGATTGTTGGGAATATTTGCCCCTGTTTTACTCCTTGTTTAAATTGAAATATTTAATAGATTCCAAATAAACAAACATTTTCAACTAATTCAAATTGATCTTAAAAACGTTTTAACAACAAAAAATTGACCAATTAAAATTTTACTAAAAAGGAGATAACGTAATACTGAATAAGATTTAATTCACCGGTATAATATTCCTTTGCTACAAGTTGTGATTGCTTCAGTTACTTAAAAAGTTTAAACATAGGTCTTGGATTAAGTTTATGGTCAAAATATATTTACCTTTGCTTGAATAGCTGATAGGCTAGAAAAGGTTTGTCTTAAATAAGAAAATGTTTTGCTGACGTAAAAAAATGATTTTGGCGCGAAAGATTTTTGTTTAATTAAAATTGATATTTAATTAAACAAAAATATAATATATTTAAGTTAATTCCCTTTTCAATATCTTAGGGAATGGGGTAATACTTTCAAATGAATTCTAAATAGTGGAATTCTATACCTCAGATATTGAAAATAAATAAACTCTTCAATCTGAAATGAATAATTCAAATCTAAACGACAAACTTGAATAGTAATTATTTGGAAGATTATTATATTTGAAGACATCGTATAGTTTTTACGCATGCTTATCCTACTTCACACTTTGTATTAGTAATTCACTACTTTGTCACATAGCAGATTGACATTTATTATTTTATAAATATTTGCCCCAAAATGGATTCCAAACAGAAGCCGTTGATGGATGAAACAGAAATAGGCATGGTGTTAAATCTCAGTAAAAATTATTATGCTGCAGAAATAAATATGCTGGAAAAGACAATCATGAGCATTCAAGATAAAATCAATTTAAAGCTTGGGACAAAAGAAGTCGAAACGGGGTTGGCACCTCCAAATCAGTGGGATCTAGCAAGAGATAAAACTTCGCTCTCACAAGATCATCCTCTTCAAGTTGCAAAGGTCGTTAAAATTCTTAAGGGATCTGGAGATGGAAAGTATATGATAAGTATTCGACAAATGGCCAAATTCATTGTGAGTAAATCTAAAAAACTTGATCATAGCGAAATTTCCGAAGGTATGCGTGTGGGGGTTGATAGAATGAAGTATTCAATAATACTGCCTCTTCCAAGAAAAATAGATTCGTCAGTCACATTAATGCAGGTAGAAGATAAACCTGATGTCACATATAATGATATAGGAGGTTGTAAAGACGAAATTGAAAAAATTAGAGAAGTTGTCGAAGAACCCCTTTTAAATCCAGATAAATTTATAAATCTAGGAATAGACCCTCCAAAAGGAGTGTTACTTTATGGCCCACCTGGTACTGGTAAAACACTTTTAGCAAGGGCAGTGGCAAATAGAAGCGAAGCATGCTTTATTAGAGTAATAGGGTCTGAATTGGTTCAAAAGTATGTAGGTGAAGGTGCTAGAATGGTTAGAGAGATTTTCAACCTTGCTAGAACTAAAAAAGCTTGTATAATATTCTTTGATGAAGTTGACGCATTTGGAGGGACTCGTTTTGGGGATGGAGAAGACAATGAAGTTCAGCGAACAATGCTGGAGCTAATCAATCAATTGGACGGATTTGATAATCGTGGGAATGTCAAGGTTCTGATGGCTACAAATAGACCTGATACACTTGATCCGGCATTGTTGCGTCCAGGAAGACTAGATAGAAAAATAGAGTTTGGATTGCCCGATCTTGAAGGGAGAGTAAAAATACTGGAAATCAATGCCAGAACAATGAGTGTTGAGAAAAGTATTCGTTTTGATCTTCTCGCAAGATTGTGCAATGGAGCAACTGGAGCTGAGCTGAGGTCTGTCTGTATTGAAGCTGGGATGTTTGCGATAAGAGAAAGGAGAAAGATAGCTACCGAAGATGATTTCTTTAAAGCAGTAGATAAAGTTATCAAAGAAGGAAGCAAGTTTTCGTCAACTCCGAGATATTTAACCTATAATTAAATGTATGTTCTCTTTAGCTGAAGAAAACTATTCTGATTTGTTGGGCAACATTTCTTTGTAGATTTATATTTTTTATATTTGATAACAATATAATTGTTAAAACCAATTTGAATAAGAGTCGAACTCTTAATGTCTATAGCTCTATTTTTGATTGTAAGTTCAAATCTAAAAAACTAGCATCTCTACTAAGCTGGATCTGAATTGATAAACTATTATTCGATAAACCTACATATTTGCTTTTTATAATAAGATATCTGTTACTATTGATGCTAAATGTTTAAAGCTAGTTGATTCTGCTTAGTAAAGTTATTTTAATTTATTCTACTACTGTTCCTTAACAATCTCTAACACATATGCTGGTTGTTGTTTTAATCAAAAAATATATTTAAGTATGTAGCAAAGTAATATTATTTCCTATGGCTGGCCTAACTATGATAGAATAAGCATTCAAAATACCTATTAATACACATTCTCAATTTTCACAATCTTTTAATTAATCCTGATCACTAATATCCATACTTGGCAAAATTATGGATAAAAATATTTTGATAGTTTTTGGCCAACTCAAACTCAAGCTCCTCAACCATTGTACAAAATAGATGTATTAGTACTTAATATTGGTAATTTTTAACAAATTTTTATAAAAAAATTAATATATTTGCAGTTCACATATGAAAAAATTAATTTACTATAACAATACAAAGCTAAAGCATTCAAATAGTAACACAAGTGGAATGATATACATTTGGTATCTGCAGTAATCTTAATATATTCAAATTTTTCAACTTCAAGTATTATTTCTAACAAAAGTTCTGTTAAAATTTCCCAAAAATGTCTCGACATCGTGTTTGTCTAACAAATCCATCACAGAAAATAGGATTTACAAGTGATAATAGCGAAAAAAATCTTGTAGTATACAAAGGTGATAGACTTAAAATGTCTGAGGACAAAGATTATCTTGTTATTGACAAGCTTGGGCAAGGAACGTTCGGGCAGGTATTTAGGTGTGTTAGCAATTACGGAGATGAAGTAGCAATAAAGGTAATTAAAAATGAGCTACGTTACTATCAATACGAGTTACATGAAATAAGAATTTTGAAAATGCTGAAAGAGCAGGGTTTGACAGATTCATTTGTTGAAATTCTGGATGGCTTTTTATTTAATGGTCATTTGTGTATTGTAATGGAGTTACTCAATAGGAGTGTATTGGATATGTTAAAATTAACTAAATATATGGGGCTTCCATCAATATTGTTGAGGAACGTGTTTGAACAAATCCTGACGAGTTTAAATCATCTGCACAGGCGACAAATTACGCATGGAGATATTAAACCAGAAAATATTCTCCTTTCAGACCCTTTTAATCATAAAGTTAAAATTATAGATTTTAGTTCATCTAATACAAAAACGATGTGCACGGTGTTCTATGCCCAATCTAGATACTATCGAGCGCCTGAGGTTATATTGGGCATTCCTTACACAAATATGGTTGATATGTGGTCCTTTGGATGTATTGCTTATGAGATGATTTGTGGTGATCCGTTATTTCCTGGAAAGGACAACTGCGATCAAATCAATCGGATTTATGATTTTTTTGGAAATACCTTCCCAATAATGATGCTTGATCACGGAAAAAACACCACAAAGTACTTTAACAAAGTAGAAGGGACTTACAAGACAAAGATATCCGGTAATAAATTTGTTATCTCGAATATGGCAGAGAAAATTAACGAAAAGATTGTTAATACGCAGGAGGCGGAGCTACTTACTGATTTAATTTTATGTGCAATAGATCCATTTTATCTTCAAAGAGCTCAAGCTCATACACTTTTAAATCATCCGTACTTTGAAAACAAGCCTGTTTTTAGGTCCGATTTGAGCAGACACTTAAGTACCAATCATGATTTGGGTCTCTTGAAATATCGAAATAGTTCTATTTTTGAATGTGACTACAATATTATTACAGGTTTAAACAAAACGAGGAAGCATTCACAATTCGACTTTGGATCTGAAAACAAAAACAATATAAGTGACAAATAAAGTTGGATGAGACTTTTTATAGTTCTTCATTCGATTTAAGCACTTAAGCGAATTTTCAGGCTACTTAAAAATAAAATAATTTAGAGTCGACCATAGTTCTCAGAAGTTTAACATTGCCAGGTGTGATTTTTTAAAATCCATTTACTGATTTTAAAGAAAAGAGAGCATTTGCTATTATTTTTGTTCAATGAGACTGAAAAGCAACTCAATCTCTGATTTATACTTATCAGGCTCTGGTGTTTCAAGAATCAGTGGGATATCTTCAAATAAAGGGCTATTCATAATATATTTGAATGCCTCCAGTCCTATTTTCCCATTACCCAGGCACTCATGTCTATCTTTTCGAGTATCTAAGTCGCACTTACTATCATTTAAATGCATAGCCTTAAGATATTTCAATCCTACTATTCTATCAAAGTCTTTCATGATTTCTCCGAACTTTTCACTGGTTCTAATATCATATCCACCACCAAAAAGATGGCAGGTGTCTAGTGTAACACCAATACGAGCTTTATCTGAAACCCCATCAATTATTTCCTTCAACTCTTCAAATGTTCTTCCTAAAGTATTCCCTTGACCTGCCATATTCTCTAAACAAATAATAACGCTTGGCACTTCTACATGAGCTTTATTAATTTGATCAGAAATAAGTTTATAAGCACCATTCCCTCTTTTATTTACATCAGATCCAGGATGCAAATTATAAAGACAAATTCCTAAATCCACACATCGCTTTAAATCATCTATTAAGCACTGATATCCTCTTTCATTGCTGTCATTCGCTAAATTAATTAAGTAGGAACCATGTGGCAAAATATTCTGTGGATTTTTAACAGTTGAAATAAAATGGTTTTGTGCTTTCTGCTCGAGTGGCTTAAAAGTAAATGTCCTTTGTGACTTCAGAAAGATAGCACATGATTTACATCCCAATAGTTCCATTTGTTTCTGTATGGTCCAAATACCCTTTCCAATTGGCAAATGAGCACCAATTAATTTCATTGGGGAATTTTTAACCCTTCGAAAAAATATTGCACAAATTTTAAAAAATACCTTATTGTAATTTTCTATGATCAAGTGAATTTTCACTTTAGAAACTTATTAAAACCTAGTAAATTATGCTAGATTATAGAGATTTGATTTCTTGAAATCAACCATTACACTTAGATTTATGTAACCAATAACTTTTTGCATAGCCCCTTTGCAACTAATTCCAGATTTTTTCGTTTACACGACCCCCTATATGGACTTTCTAACGAAGTGTAAGGACATAAATCGTAATTTAGCACAATTGAACAAATACACGGAAGAAATGAGTCGTTATACTGTAAGGAAACAAAATAGTGTTTTAAGTGGTGACGAAGAGAAGAATTTGGACATTAAAATCGATGCTGTAAATATAAATTTTGAGAGCTTGAGCGACAAATTAAAAAGCCAACTTAAACATAATCAAGAAGAAACCACAAGAATGAAGGAACGAAACGAAAATAAGCAAATGATTGTGATGCGAGAGAATCATACATATGGTCAAAGTAAAAAATTGGCTGAAGCACTGAGAGCATTTCAGAATGTTCAATGTGAATATAGACAGCGTGAAAAGACCAAACTACGAGAAACATTTCTTATAGCTTGTCCTGATGCAAGGGAATCTGATTTAGAAAATTTGACAGATAGTGAAAAGGGGGACGCCATATTGGAGTCCGCATTTGCATTAGGAAGCCATTCAGCAAAAAATATCCTGAATGAGGCAAAAAATCGAAAAGTAAAAATAGAGAAGATTGTTAAAACAATTTCCCAACTCGTAGCGCTCATTGACGAAATTGACAAGTTAGTGGATGAAAACACTCATGTAGTGGACAAAATCTTGATCAATATGACTGAAGCACAAGAAAACACCACCCAAGCGAATACAGAATTGGATTCTGCTCTACAGTATGAGATTAGAGCGCAAAGGATCAAAAGAATTCTTGCAGTAATAGGGATTGTTTTATTGGGCTTGCTTCTAATCTATTTGTTTGGAGGTAATATTGGCCGGTCACAAACTATTACGGTTAATACCCCAAGCAATAATACATCCTAAATATTCATTCATGCTTGACATTTAGTTTGCAACCCATGAAACTACAAGAAAAATAAGATGTTCTAAGTTATAAAGTCCAGTAACAACTTGTTATACTTATTTTTCTTTAAATTGAAATTTACAATAAATTATTACCCTCTGTGGTTCTGTAATTTGTTTGTTTTTTTTTGTACCCATTCCTGCGCAGGGGTTCTTACCAATGACGTCTTGACGGAGGTAAGTTGGATGCTAGAATTGATTCGTCCATCTAGTAGAACAAAGTTTGATTTATCAAAGCGGAATGGTTTTCCGTTAACGTTGCAAAGCGTTTTTAATGAAATCTGTGTCTATTTTTTAAAAACTATTTTGTTTTGGCCTCTCATTATTTAAAATTTTATGAAAAGTAACGTAACGGTTTGAATGAATTATTTATTCAACTGCTTCACAATTTCCTAAATCTGGCTGATGATGAGTTACACTATTTTCTGCCTGGCATAGTGTCAATATGCCATCTTTCTTATAGATTAAAAACTCACTGGAGGAAGAAGCTCCATCACCTCTTTCCATAATACTAGTTATTAGTTTAGAAATCTTCCCCATAATTTTCTTTAGATTATATAATTTAAATCCTTTGGATTGTGTAATTATTCTGATCTGCTCTTCGTAGGTATCGCTATCAATCACCTTTGACATTACATGTCTGGAAAGGGATATTACCCCATCGAACATTGTAGTATATGCCGAATCTTCAACCAGCTTTAATGATAAAGCAACTTTGGAGACAGGTTCTATTGGAACTTCTAGATGTTCTATTTCTTCAAATCTCTCACAGATAAGAGAAAGTAAGTAGTAAAGTAAGTAGAAGTCTACATCTACAGTGAAACTAAATTCTTCATTGGAATAGACTTCAATAACTCTTCTGAAATATTCCGATTTCTCAAGTGCGGTGTGCTTCTTGCTAGGATTATAATTGTTTTGAACATAAAGATCAAATAGCTCTGTAATTAAATCAGTTGTTTTTCTATCACCAACCTGTTTAATTACAGGTGCAGAGCTCATAGCTTGAATGTTTTTAAAATGTAAATTGTTTCTTTCTGCATTTTTATACTCAATTCCATCAATATCATAGGCTTTGTAATAGTGGCTCTCCGTGGCAATTCTCCAATGAAATCTGTTTTCCCTTTGTTTTTTACTGAATTCTCTGTAAACTGAGTAGCATCTTTTTAATACCTTAGAAATGGCATTTTTTGGAGAATTAAGAATTTTTTCTAATATCGTACTGGATTCTTCACCATAAATCAATTTCAAAGTTTCTTTCAAAACACCCGGCGACATTTCAATATCTTTCAACTCTAATTCATGCGGATTCTCCGGCAAAAGGGAGCTTAATTTATTTAACTTGCAGATTAAATACTTTAATCTGCAAATAATAACATTAAATTCCGAACGATCGTCTCCCATTCGAATCAAATACTCCTCCGATGTATTCTTTTGTCTAAAGACATACACATCGTCTTCTGATAGATGCGTACTTACACTAACATATCTATCATTCAACACATTTCTTGATAATTCTGGACAATCATAAGTTCTGGCATTTTCTTTTAATACAATATAAGAACCAATCTTTTCACAGTTTTCATATTTAGAAACTTCTAGATGATCTGTCTCTTCATTATATGACAAATATCTTTTTAACTCTCCTAATTCATCACTGCCAATAATTTTCCCCAGAAGTGTGAAAAGTTTAGACCCTGAAATGTAGTTTTGATTATAAAAATTGATCATTTTTGAAAAATCCTCCAAAAGCCCTTTTTCTGACATTATGTTTTTGATATTTGTGAGAACTTTGTTTTCCTTATGTAGAGTGGTCTCTCTACCTTCGTAATCGCAGCATTTCAAATATTCATTGAAAAGCTCTCTGTCATCGATCAAAATGACTTTCATTTGTTTCTTCAGGTCATCAATAGTGAGATTAGAATTTGCAAGTGCATCAATCGCTGCAATGTAAACTCTATCGTTAGGCCTATACTTCTGTTTCAATCTGTCTATAAATAATTTCTGGTTATTTATTCCCATTGACCTATCAGATTCCTTTCTTTCCAGATGTATAGCAGTATTTGGTGGAGTAGACCTGAATCTATTCTCAGCAGGGAAGTGTGGAGTAACTGAAGGATATCTTGGAGGACTCCTTCCATATGGATATCCTCCATAATGAATATTGTGATGTTGCTGTTGATGATATATGGGCTGAGGCCTATAGGTTGGAAATCCCATCCTTTCATCATAAGGAGTTGGCTGGATTCTGGCATCATGCATTATTCTTGGGTCTGGATGTATTGGCCTATACTCTGGCACTTTTCTAGAGTGATCGTGGAGAATGGGAGGCCCTTGAGGTTGGATTGGAACGGATGAAATTGGTCTATGATCGGGCTGAATATTTTGCCTAACATCATGCATGGCTGGATGTGTATTAGGAATATATCTTTCTACATTTTTTTGTGGCATTGAAGGTTGTCTATATGTATCCTTGCTATCATTAGAGAATTTCAAATGATAGGGTAAATACTCATCAAATGAAGCAATAAGATGCTGCTTGTCTTTAAACAACTGTCTGATCACTCTACAAACTTCATCTGCATCTATTTTTCCAAATTTGAAATCTCTCATTGCTTCCAAGAAGCGATCGTAGACATGTGGTTCTGGTGAGTACTCTTCTTTTATCCTATTTAAAAATACCATAGCATCAGTAAGATCTGCATCGTCAGGAGAAGGTTTATTTTCTGTTATTGGCCTATTTTGCTCATTTTTAAAATCTTGTCGAGAATGGCCTGGCATAAGATGGGGTGGAACTCTCATACCTGGCCCTTGCCTTGTGTGTCCCATTTGCATTCCCTGATGAGATGGAAAATAAGATGTCTTTCCATGCTGTAGATGAAGAATGTGAGAGCTATTAGGTATCATGCCATGCTGTCCCTGATTATAGTTAGAAGATGGTCTATTTGGAATCTGTTCCAGGTTCAAAGGTCTCTTTAATTCTCCAGATTGATGATTTGTATGTAAGATTGATTCAGTATTTTCTTCAATTATTGATTGTTTCTCACTAGGATTTTCATTTGTTTCCTGAGGTAGTTGGCTTTCATTTGTTTCTCCAATTCCTGAGTCATCAAAACTTTCATCCTCTTCCGAATAGGAGTATTTGCTATTTTCAGAGTTTTTAGATGCTTCATTTAATATACCTGGGTGCTCCACATTCTCGGACAAATAATCTTCTGAATAGCCTTCTTGATTATTTTCCGAGTCAGAACAATTATCAATGTGAGAATTACCTTCTAATTCAGCCCTCATATTTTTTCCATTCTCCTTGACATCATTTTTTGTTTGTTCATTTGTTAAATTTGGTTTTTCTGCATCGTTCGTGGTCGAATCGATCTTTAATTTCTTATTCGGTTCCAAACTTTCTGTTGATGAAATTTCTTTCTCTGTACTGTCCATAGGGGTATTTGTTTAATATCACTTTATTTTATTTGACTGAAACAAATTTGATAAATAATTTTTGAGAAAATATTTCAAAGCTTCTAATGACCAACAAAACTATGTGCTGATAGAAACCAGCTTATTACATTGCTATAAATCTGAAAATTATTCCATATGAAAGACTAAATCAACTTATGTATTTCCAAATTATGGATAAGAAACCTATACCATCTACTTTATGGTTGAAGTAGATGATGTAGAGAAGCTTGATAAGTATGGATAAGAAATATAAATGGCATATTTGTTGTGAAGGTTTTAATATTTATTTGTAGATAATTAAAATTCAATTAATCGATCAAAATTTTTTAAAAAGATGATTATGGAGTTGAAATGCAGAATGGAGAGATTATTGATTCACTTTATATAGCTCCTTAAAGCACTATAGTGTATATGACAAAGTTTCTTAGAATTTGATATTTCATAAACCAAAACATCTAATCAATAATTTTTCTTCTGAAAAATTCAATAGCTTACATTTATTATTAATTACTTGTATATGAAATAGTACGTTGTGGCATAATAAATATACTTTGCATGAATTTGGCCTTCAGGGTATTATAGGGTTTGGAATATGATACCTGCAAAATCTTTGGAAAAACTATATTATTTAAATTTCTTAGATTAAATTTATTCAAGCAAGAGACTCTTTTCACGTCTTGCATTCGGTGAATCACTACTGGGAACAATCGAATAGTTGTTATCAAATGTTGGAGCTGGTAAATCGTCCCTCAAACTTCCTTCTGATTTTGATTTATAAGTACCATTGGTAGGTAAAACCATTGCAGAATCCATATTTGGAGTTGCTGATTGTACCTTTGGTGCATTTGGATTCTTAGAAACTCCTGTAGCTGAATTGACTGATCCGTGTGTCCCATGGAGAATAAATGTTTGTGAATTATTCGTATGATCGCATTCACTCAGTTTAGCAGAATATTGATCCTTACTAGAGTTATAATCACCCACAGAAATACAGTACCCATCTGCTGTTTTCAACCTCACTTCTCTTACAACATCTTCAATTCC